TGGATGGCTCTGGAGTGCATACACTACAGGAAGTTTACCCATCAGAGTGATGTTTGGAGCTACGGTAAATTTTCATGTGATTAGTTTAAAAATTAGTCTCTTGTAAAGCATTAAACCAAGTTGTGCTACTACGTTAAAGATATCCTATTTTCCTAGAGGAGTTCCAGTGGTTTTTGCTCTTCCTTTTTTTTCTTGTCTTTTTGAGTTTTTTTAATGTGTAACTCTAAACAGCAATTGTTACTTGTCTCCTGCCTTACTTCCGTGCTCACTGAAATACGTTATCATGATGACCCTGATGGGATGACTGCTGTAAGGTCTGGGCTGGTAGTAGTTTGATTATTATGATAGAAGAAGGCCTCTTTCAGTTCAGCCACAGGTTCATAAAAAAACAGCTGCAGGTCATAATTTTCAGAAGTCCTTTGAAAATCTTAACTCTAGAAGCCATGAATGTCAAAAAACATTTCCAGGCTTATGGGACTTTCTGTACCTACAGTCAGATAAAAGGGTATTTGTCATAATACAGAGCAAATACAGCAAGAGGAAGAAGGGAAAAAGATGAGCTCTCCAAGCTAACTAAAACAAGCATCCATTTAATTTCACAGATAACTTGGGAATTGGTTAGATAGGTCAGCTCATGTGGACTCCACAACCACAAAAAAACCAAGGCACGTTTGATAAATCGGGTGTTAATTTACTGTTGTTAATTCTGTTATCCAGACAAGCTGTTGTGCCACATCTGCTGAGCTGTCTGGCTGTTTATCTAGTATAGCTATTACTAATGAAATCATGTATACCGTTGTAAGTGGAATTTTTCAGCAGTATCTAGGGCTATGGACTCCTATTTGCATTTCTTGTTGCCGTATCATTTTGAAACAAAAAGGTCTACAATTCTATTACTCACTTTTACCTGTGGGTAGCAGCAAAAGACACCGTTTGCTGTGACTGGTTAGGTCCCCTCTTCTATTCAGCTGAGAAAAACATGTGAAAGTTAAATCGATCATGTAAAGGTGCTCTTTCTCCTCAAATTCTGTATACACCGTATTGCTTAGGAAAAAATATGCCTCCATTTATGAAATTAATTTTAAATGCAGGAAGCCCAGAATATCTACAATCGGAAAGGACAAGAACAAAAACAACTGGCAAGTTATAGTTACTGAACATCAACAAAAAGGTGAATGATATGTGTAAAACACAATAAATATGTGTTTTATATATATGGTAATTTTGCCCATCACCTTTCACATTAGCGTGACAGCTGGCAAAATATGGCTACCGATCTGGAGGCATGTTTACAATGACCTTTGCAATAAAAATAAAAGTTAAGCTGGTGTGAGAGCAGCATTTTCAATATTTAAGATTTTGTTGGGGGATGAGCTCTGTTACTTACGATACATGATCTTTATTTCCAGCTCCAATGCCAAAACAAATCCTATGGCTATTCAAAAAGAGAATCTTGGTTTTGAAGCACAGCACTATCATAACTCAAATCCACATGGAGATTTAAGGAAAAAAAAAATACAAGTGGCTGTGAATGACTTACAAGGCAAAGACAATGACATAATGTTACTCAGTGCTGTACCTTTGTGGCAAATTGATGCCCTAAGTTAGGGAACATCTGCGTTTTTCCCCTTAAAATAATACAGTACATCAGCTGTTCATTTTCCCTTTTGGTGTGATAAAAGAGTGCGATGCAGTCTTTTGTTATTGCATCCATTTACTTTACCACTATTTATTTGCGTTAGACCTTTCTCTTGTGCCTCATATCTATCATGCTGCTTCCTATAGCAATAAAAATGAGGGAAGTTGCTTTTGAAGATTAACACAAAGTGCTGTTTCACCATTTTCTGGAGCTTTTTAAATGGCAGACCAAACTTCAGTGTCTTTGCAGGCACTGGTAATGGAGAGATTGCAGTCCAGAACGGGGCCAGAATACTGCACCGTAAGAAATTGTGAAGGAATCTGAGCAGTATTAACACTCTCTTTTTTCTGTCTAGGAGTCACTATTTGGGAGCTTATGACCTTTGGTGGGAAGCCGTATGATGGAATCCCAACTCGAGAAATTCCCGACCTCTTGGAGAAGGGAGAGCGGTTGCCCCAACCACCAATCTGCACTATTGATGTTTATATGGTGATGGTGAAGTGTAAGTAGTTGTTGCTTTTAATATCCTTGTGCTTAGTGCAAGGGGGACACTGTTTTAGCACATTTGCATCTATAGTCTCTGACAGTGCTGGGTAATAGGGCAGGCTGCTTCAAGACAAAAGCTTCCCAAGATACTGTAAATTCCGTTTGAATACTGTATGCACATTTTTTGCAACAGCAAAAGATACTAATTTAGCCACGAAGGGTTGAGTTAGCTCAGCTTCTTATTACTGTCAGATGGTATCTCACATTCTTGCTGTGAAGTCAAAATTGTATGATTGTTATTGTAAACCCTTGTCATTTCCATGACAATTGATTTTGATGTTAAAAAAGATAGTATTAAACATAATTATGGTACATGGATACCCAGCTAGTGAAGCTTGTGAGGAGAAATGCTGGTTTCAAATATTGAGGAAGGAAAGTATTAATGTTTTATTGTTAGTAACAAGAATGATGATTGCAATAGTAATAATAAAAAGTAAAATTAAATTAATACAAGAAATGCTACAGAGAGGATAATTTTTTGTCGTACTTAGTCCAGTACAATAATTTATGAGTATTTTTACTTTAGCAAAAAAGGAAAACAGTCTGCACATGGTTTCTTCCTACCCTTTTATCTCCAAGATAGCCACACTAGTGACAGTACCTCCAAGGCTATGCTTCTAATTTAAAAAGAATTAGGAACATCTCTCTGGTGTTTCTGACTTAATTTAAGTGAGATAAACATGCAGACATCTCATCCATCTTATATAGTCCTTTCCTTTTTGCTTTGTACACAAAAATCCTGAAAGACAATAAGACTAGAAGGGGTAAATAACATACCTTCTGAAAACAGTAGTACTGCGCATGCAGGTGTGGAAATTGGCTGAATAGCGCGAGGGGTTCGTGTTGGTTGAGTGCAAAAATGTTCCATCTGATAGGATTTCTAACAATATGAGGTGAATCTCAATGGACAAAAGGAAGTCCTAGTAGGTGGGGTATTCTGGAAGACGGAAAGTTACAGCTAGATGTACAGACTTAGTCCTGTAATGTTTTTGTTAAATTCTTTATAAGCTACAGTAGCTTTGTTTTTCCTGCGTCTGTCACTTCTTCAGTTAAACGGCACGAAGGCGATAAGGCCTGCTTCGTTTAGCCTCTCTGGCAAATGAGAACGTGTTCTTGGGAAGTTGCTGATAGGATCTTCCATTAGAAAAAGCTGACACTGAGATAAACTAGTTGCTGGTGGTGACTACCTGTACTACTTGCTTGTTTTGCAGAAAGCGTTAGCAGGGATTGAGAATTGTTGTTCCTAATGAATATTTCTTAGAGAATGAAGGACAAAAGAATCACCCTTACTCAAGTAAAATAGCATTCAATGCCTTGGGTGAGGGCTGTGTTAATTATGCAGACACGTGAATGCAGAATTACCTGAAAGGTGGATGCGAGGTCAGTCATCCTGTAGATCTGTTGAACAGCTCTTTTAAATCTAAATCACTGTGGAACAGTAGGCCACTTAAAGTAAAATTGTATTTAGTAGTAACTTTGTAATAAACCCGGTAGATTCAGATGAGATTAGATTCGTTATATTAGAGGTTGGACACATCCATAATAAAGAACAGTCAGAGCTGACATCTAAATGGGCAGACACAGAAAACTGCAAGGTGTTGTTGCTGTTTCTGTTTCGGGGATGGGGAACAGGAGCTCAGAGCAAATTAAGAAGAAATTCTTGCAGTGGGGAACGCTCTAGTCTTCTCTGGCCAAGACCAGATGTCTTCCATTTCAGATGCATCATAGGGTTCTAGCTTTCCAGCCTTCTGGGCTCTTTATTGCAACTTTTATTTAGGCCAGAGCTGTCAAGGACTTCAAGCTTGTGCTTTTAAAAAACCAGAATGATTTCTTCCCTTGACAGTTACCTGTTTTCTTTCTCATCTTTCGTCTGTCCTCAGGCTGGATGATTGATGCTGACAGTCGGCCAAAATTCAAGGAGCTGGCTGCTGAATTCTCTAGAATGGCTCGAGACCCTCAGAGATACCTAGTAATTCAGGTAAGCAACTCTGCAACATCAGGGGGAAAAAAAAAATGTTTGCCAAACCTGACTGTTAAAGGAGTTGCCTTTGAATGTCTTTAAGTTCAAAGTGCTCTTGAACTTAAAGCAAACAGTAACCACAGTACTATACAAGAATGAATTAGAACAGCCAGTGTCAGTATCTCAAAAATAATAATAATAACATAATCTGAAATTCACTTCTTAAGCTTGTATTTATGAGCAAGATCAGCTGCTCAGTACTTCACATTCTGTCATGGAACTGGGGACAATATTTTTCTGTCATTGGACAGTGGACCTACTTTAGACCAAGGACTTGCTTGGTTCTACAATTGCTTAGGCTGAATCTCAGGGGTTTATCCTGAGACTTTTCCCTGCACTACTGAGATCATAAGAAAGTTTCTTTTCATAGCCTAAACAAAAAGGCTTCTCAGATGATAGGGAGTTGCATCACATTGGTACCTCTCATGCTAGAGAGGAACTTCTCTGTGTGTCCTCCTTAAGCTGTGCAGGCTCCGTAGTGCTTCACAGTCCCTGCAATAGACCCACACCAGCATCGTTCATCCCATGAAGCTACGCTGTGGCAGCAGGGCAATACCAATATAGCCATATCTGTTGACTACATCTAGCTGCAGCTGGGTATGCCCTGAGTACAGGCAAGGTGGAAATTTTTGTCCTTTCACTCCTGCATTCTGCAGAAGCCTAGAATTGTGTATGTCTTTACTACAACTCAGACTCAAGCCACAGAAAATGAATTCGACTATTTGATAAGGTCCTTAGGTGGGCGCAGTGTGTGAGCAGTTCAAATGAAAATGAAAAATTGGAAGTAAGGTGATGTTGAAACACCAGAGACCAAAGCATGAAATCAGTTTCATCCAGGTAATGACACTCTCATGCTATGTCTGCTCCACATCGTGGAGTACAGGGCAGAGGTATACCAAGCTGGTCCTTAGCTTCACACTGACATAAGAATTTGAGCTGAAGAGCCTCCAGAAGTACAGTCACTGCCACTTCATGTCTCCTCATTGCTTCTGGGTCTAGTGCTAGTCTCACCACATGGTGTTTCATTTCACTGTGTAGACATGCTAGCTTACTCATGGTGTATTATTGCACAGTGTGAATGTACACTACTCTCCTTCAGCTTGAGGAGAAGTAAAATATATTTGAAAAGTAAAATACCAGTCAAGAGAATTTGTGGTGCTGAATGTGGAATTTCTCGTGCAGTATTCCTCACTGTGTTAGATTGTAAGTTCAGGTGATAGAAGTGGTTCTGGAAAAATCAGACTGATTAAATTACTTTGTTAGATAGGATATGCTTCCGTAGTCCAAATACCTCTTCCCTCCCTTTCTCTTCCCTGTTGTATAGTCTGGTGGGTGTTTCATCCTGTGAGGCTTCTCCAATGATCCTTGCAGACAATATAGACAATGTGCTTCTTGAGGAGAAACCAGGGTAACTCTGTTGGACCGGCATCTCTGCCATTATGACTCCCCATTCCCCCCAGATGCTATCAAGAATGATAAGCTTAGTGTTGAGCTGTTAAACGGGACTGTATGCACCCTGTAGCAAAGCCATCACTCCCTGCTGGATTCCACACATAGCATAGTAATTCTTGCAGAGTGGGAGGCCATTCTTCCGCCATGCGGTTAAGTTTAGCGTCATTTCTATGGGCTGTTAGGTGTTTGGGGCATAGGCTGCCTTTTGTGATGTTTCATGGCACCAAGCAAAGTGCAGCCCTGATTTGCCTGTCCATTTTGTAGCTGCTATTTCAATAAAAATACATATCATTGTTATTGCTGTTGTTCCCTGGTTTGATTTTTATTGCTTTCAGCTCTGTTACATTCTGCAGAACTTTCTATGTGGATGAGAGAGAAATCTAGCCTCTAAGTCCCTAAACTTACAAATGAAAATAAAGCAAACACCCAGACACAGCAGTTTCCATGTTATTTTCCCCGATCGTGTGAGCCTAAATAGCTGAGATATTTCACGAAATACATCAGGCCTTGACAGAACTAGGGTCAGAAACTGAGCTTGTATGGGAAAAAGAGAGAAGAAAGATAAAAACTCGATCACAAGAATGCCAAAAAATTACTTTGCTTGACTTACGCAGTTACTCCCTTTCTGTCATCATATTCCCAGTAAAAAAATGAAAAACAATGATCAGAATGTGGTGCTGTAGAACAAACAAAGCAGTATGTGTGGTCCGTGCAGCCTGGCTGCTAGGCTCTGAAGAAGGCTGCAGTTCCGTTTTTGGGAAATTAACCCATCTTTTGACTGTTTTCCTCTCTCAATACAACTTATTTAGGGAGATGATCGTATGAAGCTCCCAAGCCCAAATGACAGTAAGTTCTTCCAAAACCTTCTCGATGAGGAAGACCTGGAAGATATGATGGATGCGGAAGAGTATCTTGTTCCTCAAGCCTTCAATATCCCTCCTCCCATCTACACCTCCAGGACAAGAATTGATTCCAACAGGGTAAGAGCAAGCTCTGACAGGAAATACTGGTTGTTATAAAAGCACAGGTGGAGATTTAGAGTACACTAATCAAACACCGGCCAGAATTGCCTTGGGAATTACAAGCTCCCATTGTAGAGTGACTATAAAAATGTTGTCACTGGGTTCCCTGTTCATTGTGCCTCAGTGAATTCTAAATTAATAGCTCAGCCTTGAGTGAACAAAAGCTCGACTTGAACTGCCTGTCCTGAAAGCACAGCTGAGGCTTGTGAAGTCAAGCAGTGTTGTTTCTCAGTTGCATACCATGCTGGCCAGGAAGCGCATAGCTCTGATTCTCCCACCCTGCAATCCTCTTGTCTTGGCAGGGTTGATACTGATGTAACTGAGGGCAGCTGGAATATATAGATAATGTGCTTTTGTGTCTGGAGCCAGATTTCAGACCCAGCCCCTTTTCCTGTTCGTATGAGATGCTTTCATGGCCTGTCTTCACAAGCGTGTGTTTTTGCAGAGCATGTCACAGAATTTTAGTATCTTCGTAACAACCCTGTCAGTGGAGGAAGTGCTGTTCATTTTACAGGGGGAGCTGAGGCACAGAGAGTCTTCAGGTGGAATTCAGTTCACAGAACTGTAACCATCAAAAGGATAGGGATAAAATCTAAGCTCTTGATCTAGACTTCATTTCGTGTCGTTGGAGAAGAGTGGATGCATCCAGTGGGTGATAATTGCTGCCTGCCGTGGACATTTACAGTGGGATGTTACTTTCTGGAGGTGTCTTTCTCTATCCACTGACTACTGACAGCTCCAGAGCAGCCTTAGACCTGGTGAATGAGCTCTGGTGAAATGGATCCTGTCCTAAATGCCTCAGCCTCAGTGCCTCAGGGAGCCCTGCTGCAGGTGGGGACCTGAGTTCAGGTTTCAGGAATTCGTCTTTACTTCTGAGCTTCCTGCCTGCAGCTGTGACCTGTGCCTGTTCCTGCACTTGTCTCCATCCTTTTAACAGTGTAGGTGTCACCCCTTCTCACAAAAACTAAGAGATGGTGAAATGCATTACTAATGTGAGGACACTCACACAAGCATTAGATGTATTTAGTAATTAGAGACTTGTTTGTTTGTTTTCTCCCTATGCTCCTTTTAGTGGACAATTACATTTTAAATACTAAGTAGAGTCTTATTGAAATGTTGGGTGTTTATTCCTCGTGCTTTAGAGACCTTTTGGACATTGTCCTTAGCCAAGGTGGCTCCAAATTCATATCCTGGTCTGCACCGATTACACATGTGAGACGGGGAAGAGGTAAGCAAAAGAGCTAAGAGTGTATAAACTGGGTCAGTATTCATGCTCTGACCATACACTGCATGAAGGTCTTTCGCCTCTCCTGAGTAAAGCAGTGCTTTTCTGGAATAAGGGAGATTAAATCTGGTGTTAAATTATATCCCATCAATTCAGAAGGGAATTGCTACTGTTTTCAAAGGCAAGGAGGCTAGAGAGGTCTTTGGAAGCTGCGTTGTAGTCCCACAGTCTAAGCTGGATTCATGTAGCATTTCTCCTGCATCCCTGAAAGGCATTTGAAGAGGGGATGATGCATGAGGGCATGACACATGACTTAGCAATAAGCAAGGAGCTTACTCTTTATGGCAACGAGTTAATTTTTAGTGCTGATGCTGATTTGAAATAAGTCAGTTTCACTCGTAGCTGTCTCTGGAGACGTTCTGTTTCCTTTGCTGACAACTTCTGAGAAAAGATGGAAACGACAATAGTTACCTTTGAAAGGTGTTCACTGTCACACTGATGTAACTCACTGTAGCTTAGTTTTACATGGTGGAGTACTACCATTTACACCAACATCGGGTTGAGAGAGCAGAGTCAGATCCGTAAGGTTTGCTATATTCATCTCACTCCCATATGTGCTGGAAACACCGGGGCATATATAAAGGAGAAAGGATTAGTAGGAAAATGTAATTGCCTTTTCAGCAGTTCCTTTTGCTCTCTCTCTTTAGTGCCAGGCAAGCAGAGGAGTCCACTAGAGCTGAAGGAATGAATTCCAACAAAAATCCCAGAGTAAATACTCTGAAAGAGTTATTTAGAATGTGCTGTTTGGGAAGCCAACATGCTCCCTGGGATATTGACGGAAAGCTAACACAGGATGATGATAATGATTGTTGTTGTTATTGTTACAAACTTCAAGTAACTTTCTCACAGCCTTTGCCCACCTTTAAACCACACTGTTGCAGCTACTTGCATGCATGCGATCACCTTGAAGTCAGCAGAGCTGCAGAAAGAGACCCGTACCTTTATTTTGCCACACAGAGGCTCCATCACTTTCTTGATGTGAGGTCTCCTCTCTGCAGCTCACAATTTCCCATCTTGGTTTGAGACTGTGATCTTGTAACACTAAAGTCAGTGGGAGCTTTGCTTTGCAATTCAATTTAATGACAGTAGTGAGACTGTATCCTTCTTTCAGTAACTCCTACCGCTGGGAATTTTTCTCATAGCATCATACGACAATCTAACACTTAAAGAAATCTGGAATTACCCTTTGTCCAAAGTTTTCAGATTCTGAGCCAAGTTTCCTCACCCAGGTAACCTCAGAAAGGGCAGCGGAGGGACAGAAAGCTTGCACCCAGCTCTGTATTTTCGTACCCCTTCCATCTTCGTAGTGTTTTTCCTTATTGTAGGAGCCTCTTTAAGGAAGGGTTGTTTTTAAGGCCAAAAGAAGGGATGGACAAAGAAGTTGCCATTGAACAACCAGCTGATTTATAATAGCACTTGCTGGTACCATTGGAGACTAACTCCTGTAACAGGATTACCAGTACAGATTACCAATTTTGATGCTGTCCAGTGTCTCAGACTAGCTTCAGTCTCAGCGTTGTTTGCTAACATTCTGCATCTCGTAAATGTCCTGCTAGTACTGCCATATAGGCAAGTACATCTAGATTGCAGGAAGGCCACAGCACCTTTTTGCTGGAGGGACTTGGGGCCAAGTTGAAAACCCCATACCATCTCAGCATTCCTGGTTTCCTTTGCAGAGAGTTTTTTTCTGGATGTAGAAAATTTGTTTCCTTTCTGTGCAGAAAGCTACATATTTGCCTGTTGTTTTTCTAAAGCACTCAGTTCTTGGTACAGTAAGTGTTCTTCCAGTGAAGATTCATGTTGATTTAAGACAAAATACACAGTAGCTCCTTTAAGGTAATAGTGCATCTGCTGTGCATAGTTCAGCACAGATGGATGTCAGCTACAAGAATCACACAGAATTGAAATGCTGTCAGAGCTCTCTAATCTGCAGTTGTCTGATTCTGTCTTTGTGTTTCCTTTGGATAGTTTGTGATTTATGCTTGTTTGGTGTAGTGAATATTAATATTACACAAACTCATTATGGTGCTGCTACAGCCATAGATGCCAAATAAATGGATACAGCTTAGGTAGCTTGTGTTCACTGTGTCTGGCAAATTAAATTTTATGGGAGATTGCCAGGCAATTTGGTGAAGTAAAAGAGACAAGAGCTACATGATCGTCATGTCATTTTCAGAGATCAGAAGCATAAAAGATACTGTATTTCCTGTCTTAGTTGTTCTGATTGTAGTTTTAGTAAAGAAAGAGTCAGTTATATGGTGGCAGAGTATCGCGCTCCTTCTCTGGACGTGTTGTACTGCCAGCTTTAGTTGAGTGTTCCAGCAGTGCAGCTCTACTGGGGACAAAAGTTTGCAGGAAGAAAGCAGTGAGATTGTGAGCCTTTTCACACTTAGGCTTTGAAGTCAGGGAATTAAGGAGGAGCAAGAGCATTTACTTCCAAAGGAAAGCTCTGAAGTTTCTCTAGGGTGATCTTGGTCCTAAATCCTTGCAGCTTGTTGCCTGGGAGAGGCACAGTGGATGAGGTTTGCGTAAAAAAACTGCCTGCCTTTTCCCTCCCATGTGAAGAAGAAAGCTATTTGGATATGAATTAATAGCACAGAGCTGCAGCCCATCTGAAAAAGACTGGTAAGTGGGAGCCTTCTGGGGAGTTTGCAGATCCCTGGGAAGTGTCACATCCTTATTCCTCCAAGGATTACTGAGATTCACGAAGCTGTGAGGCTCAGACGCAGCTTCAGCGTTTCCGTCACACCCACACTGGCTTCATACTAGCACATCTTTGGGGCCTGTACTGCCAGGAGCAGAAGCCCGCATGCACATACTAGCCCTCTGTTATGAAGTCCAGCCTGAGACTGATGCCACGTTTAAATAAAAATTAGCATCCTAAGCTAAATTTAATTCTTTCATTGCATCTGAAACTCTTCAGTTGCAATTTCAGCTCTTAGGCTTTTTCCAGCTTTTATTTTCCATTGTCTAGAGATATTCTAGAAATATGGAGTTTTAGAAGCTCTGTGCTTCTGAGAGATAAGCTGAATCCTCGGCAGTGTTTCCATGAGCACAGGACTCCAGCTAGTGCTCAAGTGTCCTACATTCACAGCCATTAGATGATTCATTCAGGTATTTGTTACAAGTACTGTCCTGTGTGCACAGAGATAATACTAATACAGAAAGCATTCTGTGTACCCCATGATGCTTTTTGCTCTAAATCCTTGGCTAATTCCT